CTATTCTATTCTATTCTATTCTATTCTATTCTATTCTATTCTATTCTATTCTATATATTTATGTAGAACCTCAGAGACCAGTTTCAAAGGACTACCTGTAGCTCCACCTTACAAGAGATACACATAATGTGCGGCATGTTGAAGGTGTCCAACATCTGTGGCCTAGCATGGTGGTTTCATTCTGCCTTGTGGCCAGGCGGGTCCTGCCTTCAAGGACTCTACCAAGAAGGTTCCAGGAAGGTTCATATAATATGTTAGTTAGTTACACATGGCTTTAAGCCCATACAGGTAGTCCTCAACTTATGACCACAATTGAGCCCAACATTTATGTTGCCAAGTGAGTAATTTTTAAAGTGAGTTTTGCTGTATTTTACTACTATTATTGCCACGTTTAGAATAGAAGTAGTACTTTAGCCAATATGAATGAACATCGTTTATTTAGAGTAGGAGAGGAGAGGAGAAGAGAAGAGAAGAGGAGAGGAGAGGAGAGGAGAGGAGAGGAGAGGAGAGGAGAAGAGAAGAGAAGAGAAGAGAAGAGAAGAGAAGAGGAGAGAAGAGGAGAAGAGAAGAGAAGAGAAGAGAAGAGAAGATGGAATGGAATAGGAGAGGAGAGGAGAGGAGAAGAAAGAGAAGAGATGAGAAGAGATGTTGGAAGGGACCTTGGAGGTCTTCTAGTCCAACCCCCTGTTCAGGCAGGAAACCCTATACCATTTCGGACAGATTGGAGCAGTTGTTATTTACTTTTTCAGTGTCGTCGTAATTTCAAAATAACCAGTTGCTACACAAATGTTTGTAAGTTGAGGACTTTCTATACTCTTTCGGTGCAAAGCTCAGGGGATAACGGACATTTACTGGAGGAAGTGAGCGGAGACCCTGTATTCCCAATATAACGTTTTCTGATGTTGCCAGAACCATAATAGTGGTTAACCAGGATAGTGGCACAAATGAGTTTAAGAGAATTGTGTGAATAGGGTTAAAGCTGTCTATGTCTAATCCTAAAAAAAGCAAGGACAAGCCCAGAAATCATAGTTAAACCAACCCCCAAGTGACTGTCTAGTCCAAGGGTCTTCAAACTTGACAAATTTTAAGACTTGTGGACTTCAACTCCCAGAATTCCTGAGCTCACATGACTGGAGGAGGAATTCTGGGAGTTGAAGTCCACAAGTCTTAAAGCTCTCGAGTTTGAAGACCCCTGTTCTAGTCTCTTCTTAAAAACCTCCAGTGATGGAGTGCCCACAATTTCTGGAGGCAAGCTGTTCCACTGGTTAATTTCCTCACTGTTAGGAAGTTTCTCCTTAATTCCAGGTTGCTGCTCTCCTTGATTAGTGTCCATCCATTATTGTCCTGCTCTCTGATGTTTTGGAGAATAATTTGACCCCCGCTCTTTGCGGCAGCCCCTCAAATACTGGAGCTTGTTAAATGAATTGCTGCAGTTGTTAAATTAGTAACACAGTTGTTAAGTACATCTGGTTTCCCCGTTGACTTTGCTGGTCAGAAGATTGCAAAAGGTGATGCCATGACCCCAGGACACTGCAACTGTCATAAATGTGAGTCAGTTGTCAAACGTCTGGATATAAATCATGTGACCCTAGTGATGCTGACATGGTCATAAGTTGAAAAATTGGCCATAAGTCACTTTTTTCACTGCCGTTCGAACTTTGAACGGTCTCTGTTGTAAGTTGAGGACTGACTGTACATCCCCGAGAAAGCACTTTAAAAGCAAATAAAATGGAGACAATTCCTCAGCTTACAATGATTCATTGAGTGACTATTTGAAGTTACAACGCCACTGGAAAAACCTAGGACCGTTTTTCACACTTACGACTGTTGCAGCATCCCCTTGGTCACACAAACAAAATTCAGATGCTTGGCAACTGGTTCATATTTATGACAGTGGCAGCATCCTGGGGTCATGGGATCACCATTTGTAACCTTCCCAGCCGGCTTCCCACAAGCAAAGTCAATGGAGGAGGGGAGCAGATCCACTTAACGACCGCATGATTCCCTTAACAACTGCAGGGGTTCCTTTAAAAATTGTGCCCCAAAAGGTGACAAGCAGGGGTGGGATTCTACCAGTTCGCACCTATTTGCTAGAACCGGTTGTTAACATTCTAAGCAGTTTGGAGAACCGGTTGTTAGAAGAAATTACTGGCCTAATCCTGTAAGGAAGGCAGGAAGGAAACATTCTGGTGTTGCTTACAGAAACTGCCTCTCCGTTAACCCTTGTTATATTCTTGGCAGGACTAGACTTCCTGTCTCAGGAACTTCTCTAGAGTTATTTTTCCCCTCCTTTGCTGGTACTTTGCTTGTGTGGAGTGACTATTCAGAGTTACAATGGCACTGAAAAAAGTGACTTATGACCATTTTTCACACTTACGACTGTTGCAGAATCCCCACATGAGAGGCCAGGCGAGATGCGTGCCTCGCCACACCCAGCCAATAACATGACCACCAAGCCATGCCCACCCAGTCACATGACTACCTAAACCATGCCCATAGAACCGGTTGTTAAAATTTGAATCCCACCCCTGGTGACAAGATGAGGCACTTAACTCACTTAACAACTTCCTTACTTATAAGAGAAATGTTGGGCTTAACTGTGGTTGTAAGTCAAGGAGTACCTGTGTGAACTCACTCTTTTAAAAGAAACCAGGTGTTCCCTTAGTCCAGGGGTGTCAAACTCGATTTCATTGAGGGCCGCATCAGGGTTGTGTTTGACCTTGGGGGGACCAGGGTGGGTGTGGCCAGGATGGGCGTGGCCAGCTTGACATCACTCATGTCGGGGGCGCCTGTGGCGGCCTGAGCACTCTGCCAGCGAAAACGGGTTCCCGAGCTCCGTTTTAGGCTGCAAGGGCCTCTTGCCACCCTCAGCCAGCCAAAACGGCACGCAGCCCTCCCGACTTCTGGTTTTCACTGGCGGAGGTACCACGGGCCGGTCCTTCGCTGTTTCCAGGGCAGCCTCGCAGGCCTGATCTAAGCCCCCTGCGGGCTGTAAGTTTGACACCCCTGTTTTAGTCCAATAGGTTGTTTCCATCAAGGATCGTCTTAATGCATTTTGCAGATTTCAGATGGTTAACAAAAGGTAAGGCAATTTAAGACTTTTCCATCTCAACTGGCTGCTATCAGGGTTGGCAGGGTGTATTTACCTCCCTCTTTGGATTATCACATCCTCTGATTAATTTTAATGATGTTGTTTTGGATGTTTGTCTTAATTAGCCTATTGTTCAACAGCTTGAGAAAATGAACCCCATGAAAGAGGAATGTAGATGTTGATAATATGGGTAAATAAACCATATAAATACATTATATAATGTTTCATTTCTGAACAGCAGCTAGGAGTTGGAACTTTTTTAAAAAAAACTTGCTTTCTTTATCAGAATAAAAATGTTACCAGATGAATCAGCTGAATTTGATTCACGTAGCCAGTTAAGCTATAATTTGTTTTAACCATGGAAATAAACCACAGTGTCTGCATTTCCAATACAGGTAGTCCTAGACTTAACAATGATTCATTTAGTGACCGTTCAAAGTTACAATGGCACTGAAAAAAAATGATTTATGACCATTTTTTCACGCTTTACAACCTTTGTAATGCTCATGGGATCAAAAATCATGCTTGGCAACTGGTTCATACTTATGACCATTGCTGTGTCCCAAGGTCACGTGATCCGCTTTTGCGACCTTTTCTATGGGGAAGCCAGACTCACTTAACAACCATGTTACTAACTTATCAACGGCAGTGACTCACTTAAAAAATGTGCCATGAAAGGTCATAAAATGGGGCAAAACTCATTTAAGAAATGTCTCACTTAGCAACATAAATTTTAGGCTCAATTTTCCTTGACTTCTTACAGGCACAATGGAGCCCAATATTTCTGTTGCTAAGCAAGGCAGTTGTTGAGTTTTGCTCCATTTTACAACCCTTTTTGCTGCAATTGTTAAGTGGATCACTGCAGTTGTTAAATGAATCATGCAGTCGTTAAGTTGGAATCTGGCTGGGAAATTACAGATGGTGATTACGTGGCCCCCGGACAGTGCAACTCTTGTAAAATACATGCCACTTACCGCACACCTGAATTTTGATCACATGACCACGGGCATACTGCAACGGTCGTAAGTGTGAAAACTTGATAAATTTTGGTGGAAAACCGAAGTCCTTCAAGCCAATATTACTTTTATTTTAACATTATAGTATAACTAGTCCTCCAATTACAACCATTCATTTAGTGACTTTTCAAAGTTACAACAGCCCTGAAAAAGTGACATATCACCGTTTTTCACACTTAATGACTGTTGCAACATTTCCCATGTTCAGGTGATCAAAATTCAGATGCTTGGCCACTGGTTCATATTTATGACCGTGGCTGCTTTCCCAAGGTCACGTTATCCCCTTTCGTGACCTACTGACAAGCAAAGTCAATGGGGAAGCCAGATTCACTTAACAACCTCGTTATTAACTTAACTCCAATGATTCACTTAACAAGTATGGCAAGAAATACCGTGAGGCAAAACTCACTTGAAATTGTCTTGTTTAGCAACAGAAATGTTGAGCTCAATGGTGGTCATAAGTCGAGGACTGCCTGTATTTCTTTACAGTTTGCCAAGTCTACTTTAATGCTTATATTGCCTTTTCGATGTGCTTCCTGCTTCAAAATAGCTATTAAATTAAGCCCCAGGTTCAAATCCAACCTCAGCCATGAAAGCTCCTGGGGTGTCTTTGAGCCAGTTTATTTCTTTAAACTATCTAACAAGATGATAGATGGGAAAAATGAGAGGAGGGAATCCTATCCCTATTTCCTGGAGGTAAGCTAGGGTACATGTATGAGAAATAAAGAGTATTTTTTTTAATATAGTAAGGAGCCATACCACCAATTTCCAACAAGGGCATGCCAAAATTTAGGCACCAAATGTAGCCTGGGAGCTTTAGGTTCCCCTCACGTCATATTCTATATTATATCTTTCTTCAAAAAAATTTAAAGCAGAGCTTCTCAGCCTTAGTGACTTTAAGTCATGGGGACTTCAGCTCCCAGAATTCTCTAGCCAGTATTTTGGCTGGAGAATTCTGGGTGTTGAACTCCACACATCTTAAAATGGTCAAGGTCAGTGGTGGGATTCAAAAAAATTTACTACCGGTTCTGTGGGCGTGGCTTGGTGGGCATGGCAGGGGAAGGATACTATAAAGTCCATTCCCTCCCCACTCCAGGGGGAAGAATACCGCAAATCCCTCCCCACCCCACTAACCTGCTTTCCAGCTCCGTTCTCCTGCGCAGGGCAACCAAAGGAGACCCATCCGATCAGCTGGGACTCGGGAGGCAGAGAATAGATGGGGGCAGGGCCAGTCCGAGGTGGGATTTGCTGGTCAACTACTCAAAATTTCCGTTCCCGGTTCTCCAGAACTGGTCAGTACCTGCTGAATAACCACCTCTGGTCAAGGTTGAGAAATACCAATTTAAAGGACTGTTAAGAAGAAGATGAAACAGGCCTATATGTGGGGATGCAGAAGCAAGGATCAGAACTGAAGGTGGAGATTTCAGGGAAAACCTTAGGAGGAAGGTCTTAGCCATCAGCGCTGAAAGGGACAGGGTCTCCTTCACCGTTGGACCACCCACTATTAGAAATGATATACAGCCACAGCCTGCTATGCAGATTCTGCCCCGAGCAGAGAGGTTAGTCTAAAATAATGACCCCCAGAGCACCTCCTAGTTCTATGATTCTGTGCATTGGTGTAAAAACAAAAAAACAAAAAACCCGCTGTGTTTTGTGGACCCTGTTTTGTGTTAAATTTGGAGACAGACCATTGCAGTTGTAGCATCTCAATTCTCTCTCCCGCTCTGCAATTTCCTTTGCCTCCCTCAGGATGCTATTCTCAACGCCTGTTACCGGGGCTGCCGGCTGTTTTCCATCTGTCATTTTGTGGATGCCACTGCTGAGCTGAATGCAACCAGAGCCGAGTGCGAATCGGGTAAGGCAGTAACCCTGTGCGTCTCCTCCTCCTCCTCCTCCTCCTCCTCCTGGTTTTCTCCCCCCCCCCCCCCGTCCCCCTCTTTAATCCACACACCCCTCCTCCCCCTCCCCTCTTTTACATTATCCAGAACCTTCCCCCCACTTAAGAGGGTCATCTCCCTTCTTTCTGAGCTTCTGAAACAAATTCCCACCAACAGTCTAGGATAATGGAAAGTGCAGGTGGGAACGGCGCAGCCTTCCTCTCCTGGTCTAAATCTGTCAAAGCAGAGATTTCAAAAGGCTGCCTTGGCCAACATGAATGGTTTTGATAACTTTTCGGGGCCTGTTTGAAAAGTGGGGGTACCCAGTCTTTAAAATGAAACAAATCCTATCCCATCTGGAATTGAGGCTGGATTGGACCTCCAGTTCCTACGTTCCCAAGAGGCACCATCTGCCCCGTCGGGCCAGCAACCTGTTTCCAACAGCCACATTCTTCTGGATTTCCAGCAGCTGGTCCTCCAGATGTAGCTGCCTTTGAAAACTGAGCACCATCGAGCTGTCACGAGGTGCTGATGTATTTATTAAAGAAGCTAGAAAATCGTCTCTCACTATCGGATGGAAGGTCTTGTCAGCTTGTCTGGGCCAAACCTGCGTCTCTGGGAAGCGGAACTTAAAGGGAATTTAGTAATTTAATAAATGTATTTATTCGATTTCTATAGCTGCCCAACTTATACCTCCCATAGCAAACAATGTGTTTGCTCACCCGCTGCCATGTTTGCTTAACTACTGTTGTGGAAAAAGTAGTGACATTGGATCCGGTCATGTGGTGATCTGCTTTAACATTACTTTCGACTGTACAGGTAGTGCTCAACTTACAACAGTTCATTTAGTGACCATTTGAAGTTGCAACAGCACTAAAAAAAGTGACTTATTGTTGTGGTTTGCCGGCAGCCGGTGCAGATGGCAGCGGGATCAGACAGTGGGGACGAAAGGGAACCAGGCAGGGATTCTGGAGAAGACTTGGAGGAGGGTCCTGCGTCCGATGCAGGGATGGGGCCAGGACTATCTGGTAGTGGGGTGCTGCCTTTGGAGCCTTTGGAGTCTGGCAGCAGCAAGGCAGAGGAACAAGGGGAGCCTGTTCCCAGTGCGCGTGTGCACAGGAGAGAGCAGCTGAAGTAGAGGGGGCGACTCGGGAGTAAGGCTGGAAGTTGATTGCCACTCCCATAAGGGGTAAAAGTCAGCCCTCGGTGACGTGCTCTTTTCAGGAAGCAAAGAAGTTCATTAGATTCTGATTCCTCAGTGAAGCCCTGCAAGCTCTGGTTTGTTTTTGCTGGAACTCCTGTTGGTTTAATATTCTAAGTAATTGGACTTCTGTTTCTTGGTAGCCTTCTACAACCCTGAAAGGCGTGAGCTTATCTCAGGGAATTGTGTATAATTAGTTCTGGCTGGGAATGCAAAAAATTGCCAGCGTTGCATTAAAATAGGTTTGATTTTACACTCAGTTTGTGTTTCCTTAATTTGGATGAAGCCTGGGTCAGAACACTTATGACCATTTTTCACACTTACGGCCATTGCAGCCTCCCCATAGTCACATGATTTATATTTGGATGCCTGGCAACTCACTCACATTTATGACGGTTGCAGACGGTTGTGACTTTCTGACTAGCAAAGTCCATGGGGAAACCGGATTCATTTAGCAATTGTGTTGCTAATTTAACAGCTGCAGCGATTCACTTTACAAATGTGGCCAGAAACGTCATACAATGGGACAAACTCACTTAACAAATGTTTCACTTAGCAACATTAATTAGGGGATCAATTGTGGTCGTAACTCGAGGATTACCTGTAATTGCCCAGCTTAATTATGGTCATAAGGACTACCTCTATTTTACAGTGCTCTTGGGGGAAGATAATGAAGGCTGTCTCCATGCAAACTATCTTAGGCTCCTGGAGTAAAAGCAGGATATAAATCTCACAAATAATTCCATAAATAAGTAAAATAGATTGCAGGATGAAGAAATAGGGGTTTTCCAAGAATTGAAATCCATCACTTCGTAGGGCACTAGGCTGAAGAAAGGAATCGTGGCTAATCCTGGAGCTACAATTTTACATTTGATTGCCACTTTTGAACTAGATTTGAGATTTCAGCTGGAAACAGAATAGATTTCCGAACCCTGAATTTTATCCATTTGTTGCTGAATTCTTCCTTCCTTTCCTCTCTCTTGGATACTATATAGCCTGCATGGAAGCCTACACTGGTGCAGAAGAGCAGTTTGGGTGTACAACCGGATGCAAGACGCAGCTGCCGGAAATGGAAAACAGAGGAGAAAACATGGTAAGGCAGAATGCAGAGGATGATGAGCGAGAGAGAGAGAGAGAGAGAGAGAGAGGGAGAGGGGGGGGGGGGAGAGAGAGAGAGAAAGAGAGAGAGGGAGACGGAGATTATTATTAAATATTATAGCATCATCTAATGCAGGGGTCCCCAAACTTGGAAACGTTAAGACTTGTGGAGTTCAACTCCCAGAATTCACTAGCCAGCATAGCTAAGTTTGGAGACCTCTAATCTAATGGCAAGGCTTTAACTAGCTTAAAAGCTCCTTTTTCTGACTGAGATTTTGATGGAGGGTTGGGTAGGGTTTTGTTGCTGATGAAGGAAGTGTACTCTGCACATGAGCAGGGAAGGTCTTTGTTACAGCTTCATCTCTGGATAGCCATCTCGCCATAACACATTTTACTGAAATGGAAAAGAAATAGGGGCTCGTTGTGCAAAGCTCTGTCTCTCTTTGATGCAGTAAAAATAGATGGAGAGGATGAACACAACCCCTCTGTCCTTGCTGCCACAGTGTGACCCCAAAAACATCTTTTGCAAGCACTGGCAAATGGTTCCTGGGCTCCAGCAGAGGCTCATGGGAGTTAGACATTTCCTAGGAAAAGGGAGTGACTCTGTATTCGTCAAATAGCAATTTATATCCCAGTTAGTGTCATTCTGTGCTGCCAAAATCACCAGGAAGGTTATATGACTAGATGAGTGCTAACTGCAATGTTTATTGTAAGAATGAGCCTGAAAATAATTTGGTAAAGTAGTAATGATAACGTTGCCTTAAAACCAGGAATTAAATTTGGTGAAGTCTTCATTAGAAGACCAGTCTAAATAAGGACTTGAAGGTATAGGCAATCCTCAACTTAAGACTTTAATCGAGCCTGTAATTACAGTTGTGAGTCCATAATTTATTTATTTTTATTTTTATTTTTATTTTTATTTTTATTATGTTTATTTTTATTTTTATTTTTTTTATTTTTATTTTTATTTATTTATTATTGTCAATTGCTTGCAAAATAACAGGTATAAGTAAAAACATAGTTATGAATGAATACATAGATACATATAAGAAAAATAAAAAATAAAAATAAAAGAAACAATAGGATAGGGATGGTAGGCACATTGGTGCACTTATGCACACCCCCATAATGGTCATTAAACAGGCCACCATGAGACCACCCAATTTTACATTTATTTTTTTGTGTGGTGATCATTAAGAGAACATTACAGTCACTGAGCAAACCTGTTCTCCCAATGGGTTTTTTTCTGGAAACTGGAAGTAAACTTTGGAAGCCGATTTAAAAATGCCAAAAATTGTGGTCACATGACCGCAGAATGCTACAAACGGGGGCAACTTCGAGTGGGTTGCCAAGCACCTAAAATGTGATCAGATGACTTCTGGGGAGGTTGTGGCCACCAGAACTTAGAAAACAGGTCATAAATAGTTCTGGGAAGGTTTGTCGTAACTTTGAATGGTCATTAGGTGAGGACTACCTGTAGATAGGTTTATAAACATTTATGCAAAGAGACCTATATCAGTTAAAAAAACCAGTATCAGGGCCATCAGCAGCATATTGTTTTTTATTTTTATTTTTTGTTTTAAATATGGTTTTACATTGTGTAAGCCACCTCCAGTCACCATGGGCGAATAGGTGGTAATATTAATTAATTAATTCAATCAATCAATCAATCAATCAATCAATATGTGGTTTAGATTTCTGATTGTAATGGAAATGGAAATAAACTTGGGAGACAGAAGGGAGAACTGCAGACTAGGTAGCCAGAATATAAAAGGTATCTCTGTGGTGGCGCAATGGTTAGAATGTTATATTGGAGGCTGACTCTGCTCACTGTCAGGAGTTTGATTCTCACCGGCTCAAGGTTGACTCAGCTTTCCATCCTTCCGAGGTCAGTAAAATAAGGACTCAGATTGTTGGGGGCAATATGCTGACTTTGTAATCTCTGTAAAGTACTATGGGGCAGTATATAAGTATGAGCACTATTGCTATGTCAGCCCAGTGGGAGGAAAGTGGGGAAATGGAAGTGTTTTAGAAGGAACCCTCCTTAGATTTTTGGAAAATAAAAGGAAAGGAGGGAATATTTTCAGACTTGCAAAATTTTGTGAATGCAAGCTTAGAAGAAGAGCTAGAAAGATAAAGCTAGAACTGGACTATCTTGCAGCACTAACACTTATTCCTTGGTCAATTAATTTTATGGTTTTGATTTATACATGGATCCTATCCCTGCAGCATCATAACTGAGTCAGTGGAGAGGTCATGTGTTACTAAAAATACTAAATAGCCCTGTCAAACCATCCCTGGAAGGTTAAATTTAATTCAATGTAGACGGAATCATTGATGGGGTTGAAACTAACTTTATATAATCACAGGTGCCATAAGATGACCAATTCACCTCTTTCAAATCTATAGTCTTCCGAGAAAACAAGCTGAAGAAAAAGAGTGGCCCCAAGGAAACCTCTCTAGGACTGAACCTGATGCCAAGATTTGGCAGCCTAGAACACTTCTCCCAAATGCTGATTGGCTGCAGTGGGCAAGCCACTGGTTGGTTAGTTGGCCAATGGGAAGGGCTAGTGGTCTAAGGAAGTTTTGCAGGGTTTATAGGACAGCAGGCATATAGCAATATAGCCCTCTCTAAGTGGTTTACAGAGTCAGCCTATTGCCCCCAACAATCTGGGTTCTCGTTTTACCCACCTCGGAAGGAGGGAAGGCTGAGTCAACCTTGAGCCTGGTGGGATTCGAACTGCCAAACTGCAGTAGGACCAGCATATAGTACTGCACGCTAACCACTGTGCCATCAAGGCTCACTATATTCTCGAAACACCAGCGGGATCTGCTTCCCAAATGGTTATTTTTGCCCCAGATAGTATGAATCAGAAGTGCTATTCAGCCGGTTCGCACCTACTCGGGTGAACCTGTAGCAAGAATTTGGCGTGGGTCGCCGAACCGGTAGCAACATCTAGCTGGCCACGCCCCCAACCTGGTCGCCCAGTTTCCGCTCACTCGCTTGCCCTGCCCACCTGATGCTCGCTGCCCCAGTTTAAAGGAGGACTGCTCCCCTGCCCTAGCCATGCATTTTCAAGCAGCCATTTGAAAACACGTGACTGTGGGCGGAGCAGCGGTTTGTTAACCTGCAAAACTGTTCCAAGGCTGGATTCTTCATGGACACTAGAAGTATCGCTTCCCCTTGTGAGTAAAGGGCCTGGAGCGAGAGGGAAAGAACGCTGACAGGGGCGTGTGTGTGTGTGTGTGAGAGAGAGAGAGAGAGAGAGAGAGAGAAGAAAGAAAGAAAGAAGAAAGAAAGAAGAAAGAAAGAAAGAAAGAAAGAAAGAAAGAAAGAAAGAAAGAAAGAAAGAAAGAAAGAAAGAGAAATAGGGAGAGAGAGAGTGTGGTATGTGTGTGAATCCAGCCATGGGGAAGTTTGCAGGAGCTTCAAATGCAAGTCCATTTACCTGCAGAACTTCTCCAATGCTGGATTCACTTCCCCTTGTGAGTAAAGTGCCTGGAGGAGAGGGAAAGAACGCTGACAGGGGCGTGTGTGTGTGTGTGTGTGTGTGTGTGTGTGTGTGTGTGTGAGAGAGAGAGAGAGAGAGAGAGAGAGAGAGAGAGAAGAAAAGAAAGAAAGAAAGAAAGAAAGAAAGAAAGAAAGAAGAAAGAAAGAAAAAAGAAAAAAGAAAGAAAGAAAGAGAAAGAAAGAAAGAGAAAGAAAGAAAAAGAAATAGGGAGAGAGAGAGTGTGGTATGTGTGTGAGAGAGAGAGAAAAAGAAAGGAAGGGAGAGAAAGACAAAGAGACAAAGAAAGAGAAAGAAAGAAAAAGAAATAGGAAGGGAGAGAGAGACAGAGAAAACTCTGTGCTATTATTTTTAATTGTTCCATTATTTATCACGTGTTCATATTTTACACTGTCCCTACACCTAGAGTGATTCTACTGCCTTTCTTTTGCCCAGGGCTACCACATATTTTTCAGGGTTTACATGCATTCAATGTCTATAGTCCAGAGCATAAAATACACATGTGTTTAACAAGAGTTGAAAGGGACCTTGGAGGTCTTCTAGTCCAACCCCCAGCTCAGGCAAGCCAAACTCTGAGTAGAAATCCTGGGAAAGATGTCAGAATAATACTTAGAAGGGACCTTGGGGTGAACCCTATACCATTTCAGAGAAATGGCTGTCCAGTCTTTTCTTAAAAACTTCCAGTGATTGAGCACCCAGAACTTCTGGAGACAGGCAGTTCCACTGGTTAATTGTTCTCACTGTCAGAAAGTTTCTCCTTAGTTTTAGGTTGCTTCTCTCTGTTCAGTTTCCATCCATTGCTTTTTGTTTGCATTCTGCTTCTTTGGAAAATACATTGTCCCCCTTTCTTTGTGGCAGGCCCTTAAAAGCCTGTTGCCTATCACACTCTTGAATAAAGCATGTGAGCTATTTCCTCCTTTCAGTGGTCCATGAAAGTACATCTATAGTATGCAGATAATAAAGTCAAAAAAGGTGAACAACATTTTTACAGAACTACAGATAAGTTTGGCTGGGTGACAAGGAATGGCTGGGAGGGGAGGGGCCAGGTGAGGCACCCCTTGATGTGAGTGACATTGAGTTGGCCACGCTCACCCAGTCACATGACCACCAAGCCCACCAACCCAGTCATATGACCACTAAGCCACACCCACCCAGCCACATCACCACCAAGCCACGCCCACAGAACCGGTAGTAAAAAAAATTGAATTCCACCACTGATGTGAATTATCTATTAAGAAATCAGGATTAATTGCTAATTCAATTAAATATATTACAAGGAAGCGGACTACTGAATACATTAAATTTACGTATTTTAGGCTTAGGATCATTCCAAACTCTAAGAATATGCTTCTTTTTCTATTTTACAATGCAGACACTACTCAACTTACCACCACAATTGAGACCAAAATTCCAATTACTGAGCAAGACAGTTGTTAAGTGAGTGTCGCCCCATTGCACAATCTTTCTTGCCACAGTTGGTAAGAGA